GTTGTAATGTGACAAAATATGGAAAAGTTCAATGGGTATGAATACTTTTGCAAACCACTGTAAATTTCAGTAAGTGTGTTCAATACTTTTTCCCTGTGCCATTCCACATTATTACAAATAACTTCATTTCTGGACATTTATGGTTTGATTTCTTTGTATGTATGGATCACTTGGGTTGTTACCGACATCTGGTGAAAATTTCATGTCATCAGCACCTCTAGTAATATATTTACTGAGAAAAATGGTGACGTGTTCAATACTTAATCCGCTGTATATATAAGAATGTGATTATTGCATATGTCTGTAAGTGCGTACTTCTATGATGGTCATTGCTACTATTCCTGATGTCAACATTATTATATCACTATATAATAACCAATAACCTGTTTCAACATAAGCTAAATAGAATAGGGATTATGGTGCTGATGGTAATTGAACAAATGATGATGAAGATACACAAATTAGGACATAACTATTTAAATATATTCATATTTCCTTCACATAAAACATTCATTAGGGCTGGCAAGACCTGCTTCTCATAGATTACCGTAAGTGATGGAATTTCCAAAACCTTGTCCTTTAATGTAAAGTATAGGACACTCAACAAAGGATGGATCTGTTAGTCCAGGCTAACAAGATTAATAATCAAACACATTCTGCTTTTTCTTAGTAACTTGTCTCAAAACAAGATCAAACGCTCTGGCTGGATATAAGTGTATGATTTAGTTATATGGACACGTTTTGCAGAAAATTCACAACATCTGTTTATCTAGAAAGAACTCAGGTTACATAGCTCATTTGAACCGTGGAAAGTTTTTTGACCCTGCCTCTAAAAAGAATCGAAATTGGGAATCAATGGAAACCAAACGACGCCCAACCCTAAGCACACTTGTCACCTATAAAGACAAACATTTTTAAGATAATAAAGGGAATGCTGAAGTTCATTTCTTAACCCCTGCATGTATTATTAACTAAGTCTAAGAAAAACAAGATCATTTCTTTGGCCACAGGGTTGAACCATGACATCTTACTGCAGTCCTTCAACAAACTCTGTTGTTGGAACCAAAAAAAAAACTACACATTTAATAAGTTCAAATAGTATCTATTAAACGTCTTAAAAATGAATAATTAGCCTGCTGCCTATTCAAGAGTCTTTAGAAATAAACCAGATGGTGTTCGAAATTAACACTCCTGTGTGACTCAATCTGAAACCTGGGAATTTGTAGGACCCAGCAGACCTCCCAGCACCCCCGGCTTCACCTGTTCGCTGCACATTTCTTCTCTTCTCTCACTTGGGATCGCCTTCGATCGCCCCCATGACAACGACCAAGACCCTCACGATGCTGCGGTTCTCCGGCTGCAGTCTGCTGCTGCTCCTCCTCCTCTCCCCGCCTCTGGCCGGCGCCTCGCTGGCCGAGATGGTGTTCCGCTGCCCGGGCTGCACCGCGGAGCGCCAGGCGCAGTGCCCGCGGCTCGCCGAGACGTGCGCGGAGATGGTGCGCGAGCCGGGCTGCGGGTGCTGCCCGGCGTGCGCCCGGCAGGAGGGCGAGACGTGCGGCGTGTACACCCCGAGGTGCTCCACCGGTCTGCGGTGCTACCCGACGCCCGACTCGGAGCTGCCCCTGGAGCAGCTGGTGCGGGGCCAGGGCCGGTGTCGGCGCAGAGTGGAGCCCGAGACGGCCACCTCCAGCCAGGAGCAGCGGGAGCAAAGCAGCGGTCAGTCGGTTCACTGGGAACCTGGTTTTCCTCAATCAATTTTTAATGACAATGTCTAGACTGCAGCCTGACAAACACGGAACACATCCTGCTCTGCCATAAAGCCTCCAACAAGTTCGGTCACTTTATTTCACCATCAATTATTGACCAGTAACATTTTCAATACAGCTAAGTTTTTTTTAATTATTATTACTTTTTAATCAACTAGGTTTGTCATAAATATCGATTAGGCCTCCTTGCATTTTTTCTGCTTATTCATTATTGCCCGCCACCATGCAAAACAAGCGGTCGTGCAGTCACGTGTCATGTCTTTGTCTGTTAGCAAAATATCTTGTTATCCAGAAAGCTGATTTGAATGAAATTTGAGCAAATAATGCACATCTACAACTGTTAACTTTTCGAGTCAACCCGATTTAAGATGGATGCCGCAGCCAAATAACACCACAAAACACTAAAATGGCTACAACTCAATCAGTTTTACAAACATTGAGCTAAAATTTGGTGTGGTAGTAGCTGTGTGTTGTCTCTACAAATGTTTTGAGCTCTTACGCATTCCACAAAATCTTTATGTAAATGCTTGTCTTTATCTACTAAAGTCATACCTGTCTGACTGTTAGCAAAATATCGTGTGAACCAGTGAATGAATTTTAATGAAGCTTTCTGCACACGATCATTGGATGCACAATTACAACCGATTAAATTTTAGAGTCACCCCAAGTTAAGATGAATACCACAGCCAAAGGATATTAGAAGACATTAAAAATGACTATAGGTCAGTCAAATTACCAGATATTGAGTCGTAGCTGATATTCTTTTCAGCACATAGTTTTAACAAAGTGCATGAACACTTGTAATATTGTGCAATAACACACATAACACTCAAACCAATTGGCCAATACTCTTAGTTGGAAAGGAGATATGCGTTCCTTTAAAGCTTGCTATAGGCCTTTAGGTTCACTTTGTGTTTGTAAGTTTCTCATGCGCAGATTTCCTCCTGCAGCAGATGGTGTTGAAGTTGTGGTGTGCTTGCAGAGGAAGAGAGAAAATGAACAACCCACCAGTTTATCCCAGCTGTGCTCCAAAACAGCTGGATCCCTAGTGCTTCCCAACACCCACCCCTCCAAAATATCAAAACTGCAATCAAAACACTGTAGCAGAGCTCATAAAGAGCTTATAAAACACCTCAAAAGTTGGACTTGGATTGACAAAAAAAAAGCATATAGATTTTCCTGCAGCAGCAGGGAGAGACCGATTGGTTAAAAATGGACTTTAAGCACGGACTTGTTGTCACTTGATGTTAGATGCTCACTCTGCTGCTCTATTATGACCACAGCATGCAAACTGGGGGTCATATGTTTTCATACTGTTTATTTTTTATTTTTTCCAGTGATTTTTGGTCAACCGTAGCACAAAAACGGCTGCACTGATCAACGTGAAATTTGGCAGGACTGTAGAAGAGTCTGATCTACACTGCGCCAGCAAACGGTTTTACAATACACCCCATATTTGAGGAGGGGGCTCCTTTTAAAGAGGGGGTGTCTGGACATGCAAAAATGCTTCTAACTCAGAAAATGTTCAGCATAGAAGCTTCAGATTTCTTTTGTTGTTTAGCTCTGATGAAGCTCTATCCATCAGGCCCACCAACTAGTGCACCCCACCCCCGAACCCCCAGTTTATCTGAAGAAGGGGTATCTGGACATACAAAAAGGGCTATTGCTCAAAAACTATTAAACATAGGAGCTTCAGGTTTTTTTTTTTTTTACATTTTTTTTGGTTGTTTAGCTCTGTTGAGGGGCTATCCATCAGGTCAACCAATGCCCCTCCCCACACACCAAAAAAATAAATAAAAAAGACCTCCACCCAAACCACTACAATGTTGGGATGCATCTAGTAGCATGACATTTATTAGGAATAAAGACTTCTGAGTTCTGGTGCATTTCTGCGTGCGGGGGTCATTATGTTACCGCTATGTGGTATCTAGTTTTTTTCAGTGATTTTTGGTCAACCGTAGCACAAAAACGGCTGCACCAATCAACATGAAATTTGGCAGGACTGTAGGTGAGTCTGACCTACACAGCGCCAGCCAACGGTTTCACGATAGACCCCATATTTGAGGAGGGGGCTCCATTCAAATAGGGGGTGTCTGGACATGCAAAAATGCTTACAACTCAAACTGTGCAACGTAGGAGCTTCAGATTTTGTTTTTGTTATTTAGGTCTGATGACGCTCGATCCATCAGGCCCACCAATCATTATAAGATCTGTAGTAGTGTAGTGTAGTGTAGCGTAGTATCTGAAGTAATAAGATCTGTTTATCTGATGCGGGGCTTCCTTCCTTCTCCTAAAAGGAAAGTTATCTGTTTTTAGATTCTCACGTTGTTTGAACAGTTTGAGTTGAGTTTAAAAAAACAAGCACAAAATGAATGCAAAAACCAAAAAGGAAAACCAGGTTTTTTATGGAGGAATATTGTTATTTTCATAAAGCTGACTATTGGTTTAAGCTGCAGCCATACTTCCTTAATACTGCATGTTTGTCACCTACAGTATAGACCTACTGTATATTTCAAGCTGTTAGGTGGGCTAGGAGTGATTACTATTGCAATTTAATTTAAGCTGATTTTTTTCCTAAAAGTTAGGCCACACTATGTTTTTACACTGTGCCTGGAAAGGACAAAGTTATTTAGCCTACTTTATGCCCACTTTAATTATTTGTCTGTTTCTTTCTCTGTGAATAGAAAGGTGATTTGTACTGTAACTATGATAGGCTCATTTCATGAATAATGAACTAAAACAGCAAAACTCTGAGCCATAATGTAATGTTCAGGTAAAAAAATAAACATACTGCAGTTTTTAACCTGATTTTCAGGTGAAGCTCTGGTTAAAGACTAACTTTCACCATTTTACCTTGAAAATAAACTGGTTCTAGATAGCTTTATTAATTCAATCAATTTAGTAAAATGATCTTCAAATGACTGGAAAATGCAAAATTTTGAGTAGATTGTTAAAAAATCTCCCTGGGGGCTATGATTTTGCACCCCCTAGATTGTTTCACTCCACAGCTGTTTGTTAATATTAATGTGTCTCATTGAAGTTAGCAGGTTTTATGTAGGCTTCTGACATTCTGTTTTAAATTTAATATATAGTTGTTAACTGTTTTAGTTGGTCAAAACTATTTAATTTTGTTTGTTAATATACATAAATAAGCGGTGAGATTTAGAAAATTACATTGATAAATAGCTTCCCTTGGGTCTTAGCTCTGCTGGGGGCTAAGCACCCCTAAATGTCAGATCCTAGAATCGTCCCTGTGGTTCGGGCAGAAGAGGTGCTGCCACGCTCGGCTCTGTGGTCACAGGTGCTTTGGTGTGTGCGGCGGTCATTATGTTACCGCTATGCAGTATCTAGTTTTGATTTTGCTGAATAAAGTTTTGACTCACACAGGGAAAAAAAGAGGACATAAGGATATCTATGCATAGACCACCTCCGGCAAACCACATCTGGGCCACCAAAAGTTCATCATTTTTTGTGGTATGTGGGCTGACTTGTGTGGGCCACAACTGGCCCAGACGAATTTTGCCATCTGGGCTTGATATGAGAGCTTTTCTGAAACATTTGGATGCTTTTTAACACAGCCTCCTAAATTCTTCTCCCCCTAGCTACTTATCATTTGTCACTAAAGGTTTGAGTCTGCACCTTTAGCAAAAAAAAAGTTAATGAACTAGAAGATGGATAGGTATGAAGCACTTAACATCTCACATAGCAGACAGGTGTGGGCCAGATGTGGTGTCAGACTGCTGACATGGCAAGTGGTTTGTCAACTGGATGTGGACAAGGTCTGGCAATGATGGCTCTGTTTGCATGATGGCAGTCCAGAACTGGCCTAGTTTTGTTCTGTCAGTACCACAACTGGCCCAGTTGTTGTTTGATACAGGGGTTAGAGACAAATGAAAGTGAAACACCTAATTTTAGACCAGTGTTTCCCCTACCATTATACAGCCCCC